GATTGATGAGAATGTAAGAACCTCTGATTCTGGTTAACCCTCTCGACAATACATTCATTCCGATTTCTATTGTAGAGAAAATGTGAGGAAAAGGTTTTAGATTTATAAGAGCCACCGTTGACTCTCATTGATTTAATTCTATCGGAACCTCCCCGATCATAGTTGCAGATTGTGGGCACAATACATCCACATGCGGCTACTCTAAATCTCCTACCCGCTCCAGTATCTTTAATGGTTTGTTCCCTATCCATTCAATTTTCGTTTTTGATCGATTCGTTGAGCATCACTGATAGAATGATGATATGATTAATAAAGATGCGACCTTTGCGTATGTTTCTAGCTTATTCATTGATAACTAACTTCTCAGTGACTGTGTCTTTATCTCCGATACAAGTTTGTGGGCAGAGAGACTCACTGTTAATGATTACCAAGTTTTGTTGCATCCATCTTGAGATTCATAGGTTTGATATGTGTAGATAAAAAGTTTGAATTTGAAATAAAGTTCTGATTTTGTTGATGATTTAGCTTTGAATTCATTTTGATTAGTGCTTTCTGTAGTGTCAAATTCTTCCTTCAAGTATGCGAATCCATTTATCGTTTCCGAAACCTAAGAGAAAAGGGTTTCGCTTTTAACCCAAGAGAAACCAATTATCATATATCTTGTGTCAAAGATACAAGTGTGATATTATGTTTTGGTTTGCTTATAACAGCAGCCATACTTTCTTTAGTAAGCTCTTTTTATCAACTGTTGTGAATAATCTGAAGTCAGTACATACTAGAGAAAAGTTGCATTATANTATGTATGGTCACGTTATTTATGTCTTGGTTGTTGACTAGGTGAAAACATGGTCTCCACTTCTGAACACGTTCTGCAGCAGCATAAAGCTAGAGCTGGAGTTGGTGTACAAAGTCCAAATGCAATAATGCCATGAGGACGCAATTTTTCCCAGAAAAAAGTAAGGTCGTCACCTTTATCTTCTCCCTGAAGGCACCATCATCCATTTGTTATGTAAAGGAAACTACTCAAGAGGACAAGTTAATCAATGGGAATTATGTACGACATTTCATCTCCCAACTTGGTTTCAAGACAAAACTTATTCGGCCTCGGAGGATTTTGGCCGACGTTTTTTTCTAAATTTTGTGGTGAATGTTGCAGCCAAACCTTTGTGAAAAGCCTAGAGCCATTTTTGAATTGACTTAAAGAAGCAGAGGAATGACGTTTCTTCTCCATCCTGCTCTGAATTTTTGTTTCTTTTCTAAAGTGAGTAATTTTAGAGTTCTATCTATCTATAAACTCTATTTTTTATAAGATTTTCGCAGCACTCTCCTTTTTATTGATGTTTTTAGCAATAAGTATGCTTTTTAGATGATTGTGTTTCCTTTTCAGTTGACTATTTGTTAGTATATGGATTTTTATGCCAGTTTTTAGTTGACGATTTATGGTAAATCATAGTAGAAACTGCCTCATGTAAAGTTAATTTGATGCTCCTTCTATAAAAACTAGAATCTAAGACTAAAATGTAATGTCTATATTGATTGGAAACAAAATTTACTCAACCTTTTAATGTAAAATTCATCATTTAAAATTCATCCGCAATGAGAAACATCAAAGAAATAAAATCTAATCTTTTTGGACTTAATTGGGTTGGGGAATAATAATGTTGATGACCAAAATAAACACTACAACAAGAAATATAGCTATTATATTATATGTTAAGAACACAATGCACCTATTCCTTTAACAAATATGTAGACAAAATTACCTTTCATCTTTGAGAAGAATGATCTCACTGGAAGTAAATTTCCATTTATAGCTTCATTTAGAAAACTAATCGAACTATTAAATTTGAGTTTCTTTTTTACCTTTTCAGTTTTTAGTGGTACTATAACTCATAGTAAATTGTCGCTTAGTACATATACTGATATACATGTGTGAAGAAGTTGGATATTGTATATTACAGCACAAACTATATTTCGTCAGTTACGTTAATCTCATATGTTGAAAAGTATGAAAAGTTATATTTGGTTTGGTTCAGTGTATTGACGGGAAATTTTAGTTTTTATCACACTGGTTGTGATTGTTCTTTAAACCATTATATTAACAAAATCACCAAAATAATAAAGCAAATTCCTTAAAGTATTATCTTATTTAATTAAACTAATAGAAAAATTATAAAATTTATAATATATATTTTCTTAAACACATCGGTTTACGACAAAGAGATCTCCATCAAATCAGTAAAGAAAAATTCATCGAGTTAATAAATAACAAAGCAACACTTTAAGTTTTTAAGCTATGGCTATCTCTTTTGTGTGAAACTTTTAATGGTTTTTTTCTGATTATTGTGTACAATTATTTTAAAGCTTATAAAAAGCTTATGATAGCTAAAACAATGATTGATTTCAAATTGAAAACTAGCTATACCTAAACCAACAGAAAAAAAAAAAACAAAATGGGGGCCCATAAAAGTGGAGGCTCCATGCAAATTTTTAATAATAATTTGTGCAAATTCGACTTTGCCATCACACGACATGTCATGCAATTATCTCCAACTATCATGCAATTATCTCCAACACTAACTGAAGCTGCTAAAGACACTCATATTTACAAGAAACTAAAACTCAGACTGTTGACCATCTATCCACTTGCATCTTTAATAAAGTATAATGATCTCATGACCAACTGTTTATTAGCCGGAAATTTAGAAGCTTACTATATCAAAAGCATTCAAGAATATTTTGAAAAAAAAAACACAAAACCAACGTTGGTCTCCATCATCTATAAAAAAATATATCTAGATACATTTTATCTTTACGTATAACCATGCTATGCATGCGAGAAAACTATGTTGGAGAAGTATACATTAATAACATTGGTTGATAGTAAGACCATAATGTGGATACTCAATTTTGGAACCACTTTAAACAAAAANAATATTTTGAAAAAAAAAACACAAAACCAACGTTGGTCTCCATCATCTATAAAAAAATATATCTAGATACATTTTATCTTTACGTATAACCATGCTATGCATGCGAGAAAACTATGTTGGAGAAGTATACATTAATAACATTGGTTGATAGTAAGACCATAATGTGGATACTCAATTTTGGAACCACTTTAAACAAAAATATTGCATGGAGTACGAGTTCAATGACCGATTGTTAGTCCACCGTTACAAGCAAATAAAGGTAGAATTTTCATTTACCCAAACATCATTAACAAAAGACGCAAACACTGCTATTTATACAAGGAAATGAATAAGTTCGTCTATTTCATTTGAAACATGTTGTTCAATATTTATATCTTAATATTATAATTCAAAACACAACAAGTAAATAATACTTTAAGGTAAATTTATTTCTCTTCAATAAAAATAAATGATCACTTTTTACGAAAAAACTCATGTGTCTTATCAGTCTCTAACATATAAAATTCCTAATATCATATATAAAAATAATTGAAGTTGCATCACTCAGCCGCATCCCACTATTTGAATACGTGTCCATAAACACCATTAGTAAAACACATAACCATAATTCTAACTTATACAACAAACCAACAAAATAATTTAAAATTTTGATACACAAATGTGAAACAATCCGCGCGTAGCGCGGACATACCACTAGTANAAATTCCTAATATCATATATAAAAATAATTGAAGTTGCATCACTCAGCCGCATCCCACTATTTGAATACGTGTCCATAAACACCATTAGTAAAACACATAACCATAATTCTAACTTATACAACAAACCAACAAAATAATTTAAAATTTTGATACACAAATGTGAAACAATCCGCGCGTAGCGCGGACATACCACTAGTAAACCATAAAATGCCTTTTTGAAAAATAATATAAGAAAGAGTAGAGTATAACAAGAAAAAATAGTCTGGATTTTGTTTTTTAAAAAAAACTCACTTTAAAATTTTAAAAGAGAATTAGTTAAATATACACATTTATAGAAACACAAGTTTTGTAGATATTATGAAGTACGATATTACGTGGACCTAGTACAATTTGAGCTTAATACAAATATGTAACTAGAATTTAAATTAAAAACATTTTTCTTGCTAAATTTTAAATTCAAATGAAAATGTTTAACAAATAACATAAACATATTGTTATATAAATAAAATTTATCTTTAGTTTAAATGTTTTCTAATTTTTTTTGGGTTTAAATTCTTTTATGGGGCCAAATTTTATTTTTAATGGGGTCAATATATATTTTTTTTAAAAAAACAAATAATTTTAAAAATCTAGTGGGGTCAGGTGACCCCCCTCCCCCCCTTTCCACAACACTACTTCCGCCCCTGCGGTAAGACCCTTCTTCCCTCTACTTGGCCTTTGTGGCCTTTATGTTTGATGTACTTATGAAAAATAAGTATATAAATGAGTTATTTTACTATGATTTAGAAAAATATATCTTTGTTCATTAACAAACACAAGTAACAAACAAAACAACGTCATGTAATTAATTTATTTAATATTTCCTTTATGCTTATAAGTAATTTGAATAGATTATTTGATACTTAAGTTGTTCATAACAAATACTAATTTTTAAAGATCATGTATCCTTCAAGTATCGAACAAGAGGCAAACAACGAGTAATTATGGTCACCAATCAAATGTAATACATAAATTTTAATTAACTAATAAAAATATATATTAAATATTTAATAAACTAAGTAATATATATAAAATAATGGGATAAGTAAATGATAACAAGTAACAAAGTAAGTAACAAGCCAAGTAGTTAAAAATAAAAAGGAACTTGATACCTGACTTGTACTTGTGAGTAATAAAATCCATTTACTTGTTACTCGACTCGATTGTAACAAGTACTTATTTTTTCAAACCAAACCGAGTCAAATAGTGAGTACAAACCAAGTATCAAGTATTTGTGCCCAGCCATACTTGGAACACGTGGCTCTGTTTCATAAAATCGTAAAATAAACTAAAATATGTATGTTGTCTCTAACATTTCAAAGGCATCTTAGACTTCTAGCAATGTGTTTGACTGATTTGATATCTTCCCATTGAGTAGTTTTGCTGCGTTGTTATGAAACCGGACTGCTATCTCAAGCTGTTTCATGCAATGTATGTTAGAAAGCCAGGTTGATATATTAAGTTATATTGTTAGACAGTAAATACTGGAGAGAGGTTTATCCATAATTTTTTTGCAAGTTGTCTCTTACATTGAATAGTCTTAAAAGTTTGTTGTTGGATCTAATAGAGTTTGGGATAGCAGTCCGGTTTGATACTCGATTTTTCAATTTACATTTACAACAAATGAGAAAATCACAATATAACCGACATAACACAGATCTATCAGAAAAGCAACATTTGATACTGATATAGCTCTCAATAACACAAGAAGACAAGAACTAACTTCAAACTTGGAATGGCCATGGCCAATCCTTAGGATTCTCATCACTCTGCACCTTCCCACTTTTCTTCGTCGTAACCACTCAACGACAATCACCACCATCGACATAAGCGTAAAATTTCAAGAAGAAAGAAACATTAACACGACACAATCAAGACAATAGATCACAATACACAGAAGCATCTTCACCAACGAGTTTCAAAATCACAGAAGCATCTTCTTCTGGACATACGACTTGTGACTCGAAAAAAGTTAGACGTGTTGGTAAAGATGAGAAAAGGGACGATGATTGGAATATAGCTGTGAGCATAGTGGTGACCATGTGAGTAGTGTACCACCGGTTTCTCTCACGGGAAGCGGCGGCGCAGCCGGAGACCGTGGCTGTGATGGTGGTGGCGTGGAGGAGGATGAGGAGGAAGCCGCAGATGGAAGGGATGAGACAGAGAAAGAGTGTGAGGAATATGCAGCTTGTGACGGCTCCGAAAAGGATGTAGCTGGAGAAGAGGAAGATCTTGCATGAGTAGTAGTGGGAATCTTCGACGGATTATGGAATCAAACTCATGACTAAAGTTTATCGAAAGTTTGAATTTTGAGAAGTGGAAAGAATAGAGTGTAGTGGATCGTGGCGAATGATATTGCAAATTTTTTTGCTATGGACGTCGAAGAACTTTTTCTAGACTGTATTTGAGGGAATAGTGAAGTAATATAACAGAGTGATATGTAGTGTGAAAGTAGGGAAACTGTATTGGCAAGTAAAACTTGATATTATTGCGAGACTGAGGTGCTATGGTGATCAGATCATCGTTTTAGTATTTTTCTTAGAGCAACATTATAGGAAGGACCCAAATTGTGTCCTTACATATTAAATGATTCCTTTTATGTCTAAGGACAAAGCTAAGGACTTTTCAAATTTTGTAAATTCTAAAAAGTCCAGACGTGATAGTAGTAACACAATTAGAGTTTACAGAACTAATCAACAAGAGAGAGCATGAAGAGAAAGAAAACATGTAAAAGTGTCAAGCAAAAATGGTGACTGAAACTGCAGTTACTACTATCTGTCCTGCAAAAATGGTGGGAGACACATGCTTATCTTATTCGTAAATGACGTAAATATGCAAACATACTTGGGAAGATGAGGTCAGCAATCCCAAAGAGAAGTTAAAAAGATCATTACCAATATGTCGTAGAGATTGTGATCCAACAAAAACTGAGCGATGAAGTTAAGAGCTTTGTTTGCAATCTCATTTGATATCTGGTCAAGAGAAGGTCCTGTCTTGTCCATCAGCTTGATGATCAAGTGCTGGTCACCGGCGCAAAGCACTTCTGCATAAGCAGAGTCGATGTCACCAACACGGAGTGAGTGCATTGCGTTACTCCATGAACTTCATATCGGGTCACGTTCCTGCCCTTCGCTTTCTTCATCTCCCATGGCTTCAGCTTCAGGGACAGCAGCAAGACATTCACCCATTAGAACGCACACTAGTGAAAGAAAATGAATAGATAACTAAAACTTAAGATAATGCAGATCACAGTAAATAAATAAAAGAAAGTGCTCGGTGAGAAATCAAATGATGAGGATAGCTCACAAGAACCACCAACTACCAATTGATATGCCTGAGCTGCTTATGATATATGACATTATTTCACAAACAATTATTGAGGTTATAATGTTTTAAACACGGTCATAGTGGAATTGCATTTGTTCTTAACACTACTTAGAGAAAGAGAACGTAGCTACCTTGTCAAACCGACAGGTCTCAAGCGCAGCAAGAGTGGAATCTGTTCTGTCCTTAAGCAAACTGCTGGAATGTGATGCCAATGCAGTCAAGGTCTCAGCCGCAGCCTTTCGCGTTTACCCAATTGGTACTTCCAAGGCAATCATGAATACTTTCTAGCAATGACTCCAAGCTCTCAGGCGCAATGGCTCCTACTTGAACCAGAGTTATTGCTCTGTTACTACTCTTTTTCACAGACAAGGTAAACCAATTAACTGATAGAATTTAGTAGTAACAAACTCAGTCTTGCAAAACGATTCCAATCTTTATTGAATGAATATGAGAATTACACTTTGGTATCACAAATCTATGAGTACTCGTTGGCCGAACCCTCACGAGATACTCCTCAAGTCAACATACTCAATTCACAATATCAAAGCTAACTCTACTCGTTTACAACGACTTCTATTTATATGCTGTTACAGACTCTAACTAAAAAAACGGTTGACCAATCAGCAGTCTCTAATTGTCCAGCTCCGTAGTCTCTGCTTCCAACTCAGTTTCTCTATTCTTCCCTCCCTCCCACCTTATTCTTCTTCCTCTTCTGAATATAACAACGCTCATGCTTATCAATACCCCCCCCCCCTCAGTCATTCAGCTTGCCTTCAAGCGCAAAAGAAGGAAACTGGGATTTAAACTCTGTAATTGGCATCCATGTAGTCTCATGTGATGGCATGCCAAGCCATTTAACCAACACCTTATATCTGTTAACATTCGATCTCTTTCCTTCAACAACCCTTCCAGCTCCAAGTTATTTGTGGATCCCTCTTCATAGTGAATCACAGCAGAAGGGTCTCTTCCATAGACCACTTTAAACGGTGATGTTTTGAGAGCTGTGTGAAACGACGTGTTATACCAGAGTTTAGCCCAAACTAAAAACTCCAAGCACGTCCGTGGATGCTTGGATCCAAAACACCTCAGATACGTTTCCAAGCATCTGTTTAAGACCTCTATTTGACCTTCTGTCTGAGGGTGAAATGCAGTGCTATATTTGAGCTTTTTCTCTGATAAACGAAATAATTCCTTCCAGAAAAAACTGAGGAAAACTTTGTCCCTATCAGACACAATCGAAATAGGAAAGCCGTGCAACTTAACCACCATCTCAATGAACACTTTCGCCACATCGCTAGGTTGAAAAGGGTGTTTCAAGGTCATGAAATGTGCATACTTGCTTAAGCGATCCACCACAACTAGTATCACATTTTTGCCTTGAGACGTGGGCAATCCTTCAATGAAGTCCATGGAGATCTCATCCCATATTCTCTCCGGTATAGACAAAGGTTGAATCAAACCAGCTGGTGTTAGGGTAGAATATTTGTGTGTCTGACACGTATTGCATTCCGCTACATACTGCTGTACATGTTTAAACATTCCTTCCCAATAGAACCACTGTTGAATTCTCTTCACAGTTTTTAAAACTCCCGAGTGGCCTCCCAATAAACCATCATGTGCTTCAAACAAAATCAGAGGTATCATCTTCGACCCCTTAGGTATCACCAACCTCTTCTTATACCACAACTTTCCCTTCACGATCATAAATCCCTTCCTTTCACACTGACCCACCTCCACTTGTTTCAACCATTGTTGAATCTGATCCTCCTTCTCAATCTCAGCGTACAATTCATGGATTTGAATTACTTCTGGCAGTGTTAAACTCAGTAAAGTAGAACTGTTATCTTGATCCTCCTTCCAAACATCCTAGACAATCAGCCGCTTTATTGTCAATCCCTGGCTTGTAAATGATATCAAAATCATATCCAAGCAATTTGATTAACCACTTCTGATACTCCATATTGACTTCTCTCTCTGCTCTAACAAAAACTTCTAGCTCTTCTGATCGGTGTGTACTCTGAATCTCCTTCCCAAAAGATAATGTTTTCATTTCCAAATGGCAAACACCACAGCCATCAAGTCTCTCTCATAAATCGGTTTGAGTTGCTCTCTTGCTGACAAACTATGGCTGAAGTAAGCTATTGGTCTGTTGTTTTGCATCAACACAACACCTAAGCCAAATACAGATGCGTCTGCTTCAACGATAAATTGTTTGGTAAAATCTGGCAATGCTAAAACCGGAGTCGAACTCATTGCTTTCTTAAGCATATCAACGCCTCATGTGCTTTCAAGGTCCAGTCAAACATATCTTTTTTTAACAGGTCTGTCAGAGGTCTTGCCAAAAATCCATATTGCTTAACAAAACGCCTGTAATAACCTGTTAAGCCTAAGAACCCTCTGAGTTGTTTGATGTTTTTCGGGGTTGGCCATTTTTGCATAGCAATTGTCTTCGCTTCTTCTGTTGCCACTCCCTCAGCTGAGATGATATGACCAAGATACTCGACACTCTTTTTTTCAAAGATACATTTTTTCTTGTTGGCAAATAGCTGCTGTTTCTTGAGAATCTCAAACACTGTCCTCAAATGCCTGATGTGATCTTCTTGAGATGTACTGTACACCAATATGTCATCAAAAAACACAAGCACATACTTCCCCAAGAACGGACTGAATATCTCATTCATTAGCGCTTGAAACGTTGCCGGTGCATTCGTCAACCCGAACGGCATGACAAGAAACTCAAAATGTCCGTCATGTGTTCTGAAAGCTGTCTTTGGTATATCTTGCTGTTCCATTCGAATTTGATGGTAGCATGCAGTTAAATCCAACTTTGAAAAACACACTGCTCCATGCAATTGATCGAGGAGCTTATCAATCATCGGTATTGGAAATTTATCTACCACTGTTGCTTGGTTTAGAGCTCTATAGTCAACGCAAAAGCGCCATGAGTTGTCTTTCTTCTTGACTAACAAAGCATGGCTTGAGAAAGGACTTCTGCTAGGTCTTATGATCCCTTTTGTTAACATCTCTTCTACCAATGTCTTCATCGCTTCCTGATGAACTTGTGGGTATCTATACGGTCTCACACTCACATTCCCCGTTCCTTGTTTCAATAGTATTGAATGTTCTCTTCCCCTGACCGGTGGTAAACCTGTAGGTGTTGCAAAAACATCTAGAAACTCATTCAACACCTCCTCTACTGCCCTTGATATCGACTGCGGCTTCTCAATCTCATTCAACTGTGACGCTACCCAATATTCCAACTCTCTTTTTCTATCAGGTTGTAACCCGGCTGCAACCGCACTGAACCATTTATCAACTTGATGTAAATCCTCCTCTCCCACTAAGGTTACTCGCTTTCCCTGTAGCATAAAACTCATTTCATGATTCTCCCAATCAACCTCACACTTTCCCAGTGTTCTTAACCACTGAATTCCCAAAACCAAATCCACCTTTCTTAGCTCCAAGGCAATACAGTCAATGACAAAGTCTAGACCTTGCATGTTGATCTGAACCCTTTCGCAAATGCCAATCCCATTTACTGTAATACCCAATCCCAACATCAATTTAATGTCTAAATTCCGAGTTGTAGATAAGTGAGCTCTCTGCAATAACTCCGGAGAAATGAAGTTATGTGTTGCTGCACTGTCTATCAACACCACCATTGTGGCTTTCCCAATTCTGCCTCGTAGCTTGTGAGTTGCTGGAGATCCAATTCCCATAAACGAATACAGGAAAAGTTCCATCATTTGAGATTGTTGTACTTCCAACTCTTGTAACTCTGCTTCCCATAACTCTTCTGATAACTCCAACTCAACTCCTTCAATCACTGTAAAGAACTGTAGATCCGCCTTTCCACACACATGACCGCAAAACCACTTCTCTCTGCATTGAAAACACAGTTTCAATCGCTTTAATTCTGCCAGTTCAGACGGTGATAAGTGTTGTCTCGGTTTTGCATTGTTATTAGACACTGTGCCTTTATCCTCTGCTGCTTTAAGTCCTTCTCTAAGCAATGTCCCTGAGTGCTTCGTTGCTTGTTGAAAACGACTCTTCTGTTCTGCAGTGTTATGCTGAAAACCTCCCTTTGCGTTTCGTTCTCCCATCAACTTACAGAACAAACTGCTCTCCATCTTAACCACTGCAGCTATGTGATTTCTTAGACCTTTAGGCTCCTTCATGCGTATAACTTCTTTCATTTCTGGTTTCAGTCCTATGTAGAATTGATTAATCTTGTTTTCTTCTATCAAACCTTGCACCTGAATAATCAATTCCTCAAACTCTCTCACATAATCACGAACTGTACCAGTCTGCTTCAGAGCACACAGTCCATTCCCTGGCTCATCATCCAATGACTCTGCAAACCTTATCAACATTCGATTCTTAAACTACCTCCAATCAGTGAACGGTTCTTCTGTAACTTCCCAAGTATACCAGTGTAGTACTGGACCTGTCAAGTTCAGTGCCACCAGTTCCAGCTTCTCCTCTTCATTGTATCGAGCAGCTCTGAAATATCTTTCAGTTTGACCGATCCAACTGTAAGGTAAAAATCCATCGAACGCAGGCAAATCTATCTTCTTAATCAAACAATCTCGTGAAGCAAATCTACCAATGTTCCGCCGATGACCTAGCGACTCCTCTAATGGTTCCAGATAAGGAGAATGAGTCGATATCTATGTGGCCGGCACACCTTGATCGCTGATCCCTTTGTTTCTTGCTAGATCTGGACAAGTTTGCGCCGCGATTCTTTCCATCAATTTACTCATCGATTTGATCTTTGATTCAAGTCCTCCAACACGATTTGATAATTCTCCAAGTTGATCGGAAAGATCCTTGTTCTCCACCGATAATCGTTTACAACCACCGTGAAGAACCGAAACTTCTTTCCGTAACTCCACCACCGGTTGATCCATGACTTCGATTCGATTGTCGCCGTCGCTCAAATCCATGATTGCGAACTCCGATCAGCTTACGACGCACCAGTTGATAGAGTTTAGTAGTAACAAACTCAATCCTGCAAAACGATTCCAATCTTTATTGAATGAATATGATAATTGCACTTTGGTATCACAAATCTATGAGTACTCGTAGGCCTAACCCTCACGAGATACTCCTCAAGTCGACAGACTCAATTCACAATAGCAAAGCTAACTCTACTCGTTTACAACGACTTCTATTTATATGCTGTTACAGATTCTAACTGAAAAAACGGTTGACCAATCAGCAGTCTCTAGTTTTCCAGCTCAGCACTCTCTGCTTCCAACTCAGGTTCTCTATTCTTCCCTCCCTCCTTATTCTTCTTCCTCTTCTTGAATATAACAACGCTCAGGCTTATCATGAACATACTAGCAAGGAACTACCAAAAGTAAAAAACACCCCTCGAAATTTCACTTAATCTAGTTAATCGAACTGAAAAACAATAAACGTCAGCAATGAATCACTTCCTTCACCATACTTAGAATATCTCAAAATCAACCATACTTAACTACACTTCCTTCACCAAATCACCGATCGATTCTACCGAAAAGATCGAAACATAGTGCTTAGTTTGTGGCGATGATTGTGAGCAAGAGAGAGAGAGAGATAGAACACGAAAGAAAGAAGAAAGAAAGGAGAAAGTGATCAGTTTTTTTCCCTTCTCATAAAATGCCAACACATGTTCGTACGTGTATAAAACGCCTTCTAATTAACATACGTTTTCCCCGTCTCCTACTCATTTTGGTTTAAACAAATGATAATTAATTATTAAGGGATGTACTAAGGACACCGTTAATGTTGTTCTTAGCTCAGATGGCTACTCGATGACTCATTTTGGTTTAAACAAATGATAATTAATTATTAAGGGATGTACTAAGGACACCGTTAATGTTGTTCTTAGCTCAAATGGCTACTCGATGAAAAAGATAATAAAGAAGAAGTAGTTACCTAAATAAATTTTGGGCCTTTCAATATGGTTAGAAAAGCAGGTCAGCCCAACTGAATATAAAACCGGACCAAACCATGATTCGGTTAACATAACTATACCAATACGTGATTGAATGAAATTTGGAGAGTGTCCCGGTTTAATGCTGGACCTTTAAATATTGTTATAAAGGCAGCATAGCCCAACATACTACAAAATGAACCAACAAATATGCTTACTTTACGTTAGAATTTTTAAACCGACTCATTTACGTTAGAACTTATACAACGACCTCAAAGGTACTACAAGCTTCACATGTGATGTACAACGCCTTCAAATTATAGAGACTCTGAACATTGAACTTTGGTTTCAATCTGCATCCTCTCTCAAAATGTTCAGCGTGCAATTCCGCTAACCGTTCTTGCAGAATGTTCAGATTAACCTGATGGAAAAGAAAGGAATCAGATAAGAAACGCAAGGGAAAGTTCTATGGGTGACTCAAATTAGAGTATCGAATCTGCACCTCTTCGCCTTTGATCAGCTGCATCTCACACATGCTGCAATAGATATGTCGGTGATTCTCCATAACCTCCCCTTGCTTGCAGATCGGACACCATATCTGGTTTGGCCCCTGACAAACACATCACACCCGTGTAACTGCCTTGTCAGAATTTGGAAAGATAAGGCTCCTCGGTGCAAGGAAACCTACCTGATCACTGTTTAAAAGCATGTTCTGAGAAACTAAGGTCGCCAAGTACTTATCTTCCTCGTCATCCCATGTTTCAGCTTGAACATATGATCCTGGAAGAAGAAGTCAATAGCCACAACAATGCATAAAAATAATCCATTCTCCAAATAAAGAGAAAGTAAATGGTTTACCGTTTATGGTAGTTTCTGTAATCAAATCATTGTAAAACATATGTTGCATTTCTAGCAATATCTCTTCACTATCACCTTTATAAGCATCTTCTGGGCCTTCATATTCCCATAATATATCATGGGAATCCTCAATCATTTTTAATTCATCAGAAACAATGTCCTGGAAAGCAGAATTGATAATCTCCTGAACAAAAAAGAAAAAGAAAAGGTTAGTCACTAACGAAAATAAAGAAAAGAAAGTTTTTTTAACAAAAAAAAAAATAAGAGAAACAAACCTTGTGATTTGAAGACTGACAATCAGAGTGTCTCAATTTCCACAGCAGGCGTGTCCTTTCTTCTCTAACTCTCCTGAAGCAACTTTCTCTGAGCTACATTTCATAAATCTTGCATTAAAACAAAAACTACCAGAAACTAGTAAATTAATTTTCTAATCAAATACAAACGAAGCAACAAAATTGAAATTTAACAAAAACCCAATTCAGAACAACTACATATATTCAGGTATTAACAGAAAATGAAAATGAACTTCAACACAGAGAAATTTAGGTATTGTAAAACAGGAATTGAATGAAGAATTGAGAACGAACCTTCTGCTTGCGGATAGAGTAATCGAAATCCGGTTGGGATTTAATAGACGCTCGTTTCGGAATTATCGAAGCTGATGTTGCCAATTTCTCATCCATCGAAGAAGAGGAAGCCGATGAACAAATGCAAGAATTGAGGGTTTTTTTTCGTCTCCCTAACTCCGGTTTAGGTCGAATGACCTAACGAGTCTTACGTTAAACGGGATCGTGCTGAACAGATTTTTTTTTCTTTTGGAACAGCGATCTTTTAAGCAGTATTTTTAAACCCGAACAAACCGGTTATCAGATCGGATTAAACCATGAACCACACATATATCCGGATCAGATGGTGTTTTTTTGTCGACAATCCCGTTAACTGGAAAAGCCCAAAAGGGTAGATACCCGCTACAAGTGATACAGTATTAAAATACACAATGAATTGGGCCAAATACATCAAACATAAAAAAACATGCCCAACAGTCATCGTCGTATCCCCTTAAAGAAGAAACATTACAATATTTTTGGTAACCATGTGTTAGAAATCTTTAGCAAAAATAAGTTGGTCCATCTATATTTATAATAGAGTTAATTGGCTGACACACCCCAAATGGGGGTGTATATTAGTCATTTGCCTATGATGAGACATATTTATTTTGTCTGACCAAATTGCCCTTCTTTCTCTCTCTTTCCTTCTTTCATGCATTTACATGTGGGTGTGTCACTTTTTTTTTCATTTCTCTCCTCTTATCATTTTCAAAATGAATTACATGCAAAATAAATATGTTAAATATTTTGGAGTTCACTTTGATTCTTAAATAATAGTTAATACATAACACATCTATTAAAAATATATAATTTTTAAATGTGTTGGTTGTTAACAAATATTGTAGACGTTAGAGAAGTACCCATATTTGGTGTTGATATTAGAGAAGTACATACAATTAAATTGGGAAAATTGTCATTTAAATCACGAACTTTCAAATTTGGTTGAAAAAAAGCATGAACTTTGCCTTGGACCATTTAAAACACCAACTTTGTTTGAATAGCCATTTTAAACCTCAATTTAGTTTGACTAAACCAAATTAGACACAACGTTATCTTGAGTAACGGATTGATTAGACGGGGTTAGTCGCCGTCTCTAATCTGCCGTTAAGTCAAAACGGCGTCGTTTTGAAAAATCTAAAAATATTGCATCAATGGAGGATCCAACCCGTGACCAAAGAAACACTTCTTCCAACACGGAACCAATAGGCCACTCGCACTTTACTTAATATGAATGAAGACTAATAAGTATTATAATGAAACCTCCGAATCATTTTCTCCAACCCTATATCCCTAAATGATTTTATAAACTTTAAAATTTATAATAAATAATTAAAAAAATCGTAAAAATATTCGTAAAAATATTAAAACTTATAATAATTATTAAGTTATTTATAAGTAGTATTAAAGATATTCAATAACGAATTTTTTAATCATTAAGTATTATTGAATATCTAATTATTAATTATTAAGTATTTTTAATTATTGAATAAAACTATTTAATTATTAAGTATTATTGAATAATTAATTATTAAATAATAACGAAAATTTTCAATCATTAATTATTATTGAATAATTTATTAATTATTGAATTAAATTATTTAATTATTAGGTTATTTATAATTTTTTTAAGTTAATCCCTAAATGATTTTATAAAAATTAAAATTTATAAATAACTTAATAATTAAATAATTTAATTTAATAATTTATAAATTATTCAATAATACTTAATGATTGAAATTTTTTGTTATTATTTAATAATTAATTATTCAATAATACTTAATAATTAAATAATTTTATTCAATAATACTTAATGATTAAAAAATTCGTTATTGAATATCTTTAATACTACTTATAAATAACTTAATAATTATTATAAGTTTTAATATTTTTACGAATATTTTTACGATTTTTTTTAATTATTTATTATAAATTTTAAAGTTTATAAACTCATTTAGGGATATAGGATTGGAGAAAATGATTCGGAGGTTTCATAATAATACTTATTAGTCTTCATTCATATTAAGTAAAGTGCGAGTGGCCTATTGGTTCCGTGTTGGAAGAAGTGTTTCTTTGGTCACGGGTTCGATCCTCCATTGATGCAATATTTTTAGATTTTTCAAAACGACGCCGTTTTGACTTAACAGCAGATTAGAGACGGCGACTAACCCCGTCTAATCAATCCGTTACTCAAGATAACGTCGTGTCTAATTTGGTTTAGTCAAACTAAATTGAGGTTTAAAATGGCTATTCAAACAAAGTTGGTGTTTTAAATGGTCCAAGGCAAAGTTCATGCTTTTTTTCAACCAAATTTGAAAGTTCGTGATTTAAATGACAATTTTCCCCAATTAAATTTTAAATTTCATTATTTTTTTTCATAAGTGGCTTTGAGTCCTCCATTTTTTGATGATATCAATTTTCTGGGTTTTAGATTCGACGTCGTGTTAGCGGTTAACAAATATTGTAGACGTTAACAGAAGTGTTAGTTGTTAACAATTATTTTTACTCTTCGCGTTAATAAATATGTTCGCTGTTAACAAATATTGTAGACGTTAACAAAAGTGTTAAATGTTAACAATTCTTTTTACGCTTCGCGGTAATAAATGTGTTGGCTTTTAACAAATATTGTAGACGTTAACAGAAGTGTTATATGTTAACAAATGTTTTTACGCTTCGTGTTAATGAGAGGAAAGAGAAAGGGTATTCTCGGCATTTTCTTGTCAAATGGTTGTGTCAGTGTCCTTTATGTCCAATCAATGGTATTTTGCTAATTTGAACTTCAAATAGGGGTATTTCACTAAATCACTCTTTATAATAAGTTTTTTATTAAATTAAACATAAATTTATCATTAATGTTCTTCTTTTTTTCCTTAAATAAAATTACAAAATTTCCTAATATGACTAAAATATATATGAAATTAATGGTTTTAAATAATAACAATTAGTGTATCATCTATCATATTTGTTTAATTTAAAATTAGCGAAATAAATTAAACAACTATAATTTCCATAAAAATTAAAAAAAAATCAGATTTGATTATCTATGTTATATTTCATTTTTAAACGACTATAGATTATTAAAATTATAAATTGCTAAAACTATTAATCCCACAATGAAATTTTGTTATCAGTGATTTCATTTTTTTTGTTATAGACACAAATGATCAAAAATCATATGAATGAAAAGCATCCTTAATATATATCAATACAAAAAATACACGATATATACGTTAATATCATTTAAATTTAATTGTATACCACATAAATAATTATTTGTATTACTGAAATTTATTTATGTTTTTACACCAATTTAATTATAAACGTAATAGTTACTGATTTTGACTGATTGAATATATATTTATTATTTTATAATATATAAACATATAATACATATAAATAATAAATATATATATAATGTTCATTCCGCGCAAGGCGCTGGTCTTAATCTAGTACTGTAAATAATGAAATTTTTGTCCAACATGCAAGAAGCCCATCCCTCCAGAAGCTTCTCTGGTTTTCGTGACGCCGCCTCAGCTGCTTCTCCACCGCGAAGCTTTTTTCGATCTGTGTGAGCCTTAGCTGCTTCTCCGCCGTGAAGCTTTCACCGATGACATGGATTCAACACAACCCAAATAAAATGATTTACCCATTCATCACTGTAGACTTCTCCATCCTTCATAAGAACCGTCGACACCATTGAGATATCTTATCATCCCCTGGATATGATTTACAGCAAGAAAGGTTCAGAAATCTAGATAGAGACTTTGTTGAAACACTCCTCCTTATAAGAAGCTTCAACTCTACTGACTCTTCCAACATATTTACTAGCCCAAATCGATCAACTCAAGAAACTAATCCGATTAGATACTCTGCTATAGCCTCTTGGCTAACAATTTTTAAGGCAAAGATTGATTCTTCCCGAAATTAGTTCTGAGAATGACCAAAGAAAGAAAATAATCCTACAGCATCAAACGGGATTTCACTCAAAACACATAGAAGAAAGAGTTTAAAGATTATTTATTCAACAAGAATCAGAGAGAAGAGAGAACATCAGTATACTCTGCTCCGATTATGTTGAAATAACTACAAAACAAAACTCTCCCACGCGAAGAAAAGATCCGCTAGCCGGAAACAGTATATTGATCTATTAATCGAAGATGAAAATCGATCTCATCGATTGAACTATTATACAAACCAAAAACATATCTCTTCTTTTCTCTGACTGATTTCTTTCCTTCTGAAAGATAAAGCGTGATAAGAAGTTAAAAGAAATCAAGAGAGTATTCTCTCTCTAAGAGAGAAGAGAGAGACCCTATACTGTGTCCGGATCACTACAAGAAAACTAAGAGTTTACTAGCAAATTTTACTAGGAAAATAATTCCTCGTAAATTTACTACGAGATTAATTCGGTTTTACGAGGAAAACAAGAATCCTTGTAAAGTCCTCGTAAACGTACGAGAAAAATGTTTCCTCGTAAGACCGTAGTAAAATTACGAGGAAACTACGTGGCAAAAGACAATTTCCTCGTAATCTCGTAGTAAATACTTTCCTCGTGATTAGGAGGAAATGATATTTTACTTCAAATTAACGAGGAACTTGATAGAAAATATCTAATTTAAATCTAAAATGTGTTTTCTACCTACATTTCCAAGCAATTCCCTAGTAAATGCTCAGATTCGAAAATTTCTATAAATACCACCATTTGTGATTCATTTCAAACACACAAAAAAAAATCAGCTTTAAGCTTGATCAAAGAAAAAAAAATGTCCGGTCCGGGAAATATTTTTGAGTTGCGGAAGTGGATGTATTCACACAGAGATAATAACGAGAGAGTGACGAAAGAATTTCTCGAAGGGTTGGAGACGTTTATGCACCAAGCAGATTCTACACCACTCACGCAGGAAAGTGGTAAGAGGTTTTGTCCTTGTCGGAAATGCTGCAATACAAAATTAGGCCCTCGTGAAAATGTTTGGAAGCATTTAATAAATAGAGGTTTCATGCCATATTATTATATTTGGTATCAACATGGAGAAGATGCTAGTTGTAGGAATGAAGGCAGTAGTAATAGCAATTTTCAGGTTGAACCGGTTGATCATTTGCGTAATGAAAATAGCTATCATCACCAAGATGAACAAATGGTAGATTGTGATAGGGTTCATGATATGGTAAGTGATGC